GTCCCGTCGCCCGCGTTTCCCGGCCGTTTCGGCATGGAACTCGTGGACCCTCGTCTCTCCCTCGCGCCAACGCCGCGCGTCAACGTCACGGTGTACGGAGTGATTCATCGATCGAACGTATTCGCGTCCCTGCGTCCATTCCCCAAAATAGCGACAAAGACTAGTGCTCTCGTAGCCGCTCGCGTAGTTCGTGTTCGGGCTCGCGACTCTGAAACTACGAGCCGGCGAGAACCGCCAGACGTACGAAAATGCATTTCGGGACAGCTCGTCGCGGAGCGACGCGACTGATTTTTCGCAATAACGTGCGCGCACGAAACGAACGCCGGATGCCCTTCGCAGAATTTGACAGGTATTTTGAGTACAACGGGAAACCGTTGTTTCACGTTAAATCGACCAAACCGATCGTCTCGACCGCTGAATACTTTTAATTGCCTGCTTTTACGCGGGTATGATTAATATTTCGATCGTCCAAACATGGTTATAAAATTAACACAGACGATCCACGGAGATTCGTTTGCGTTTCCACTTGTGCGAGAGTGACGAGATTATCGGCCGAGAAGTTCCACGCGAAGTCGAACGCTGTATCGAGATTAAGCGCGCCTGTAAAGCACAGGCACCGAAGAGGAAGAGATAAGGAGCGAACACGCGGACATATCGGCGGAAAAGGAAAGAGAGGAGCAAGGGCGCAATCGCGGATGCAGTAAGAAAGAAAGGTGGATCGCTTAGGAGACGCTCGTGCACCCCTTTTCCACCTCGCTCTTCGGCGAAGAATCGGCGGCGACGGCGGCGGCGGTGGGGCCGCATGGAAGGTGTTGAAGCACGGAGAAAAATATCTCAGCCGTAAATAAATTATAGGAGCCGAAAAAAGTTTCGCAGCATGCCAGCGTCCCGCTGCTGCCGCTGGCTGCTGAGTTCCGGATAGCGCGCGACGCTCGTAAGAGAAGGTCGGAGGTGGTGTACTTTAGTACTTTTTGTCCTTCCAAGCTGCCACCGCCCCGCCCGACCCACCGCCTTTCCCGTTAGGAGAGGGTGTTCTTTTTATTTTTTCGCTACCCTCTCTGGCAGCCGAGCACTTTAGATAATAAGGCCAGGGCGCTCGGTACGGACGAAAGGGTAAATTGGGTATTCGTCCGAGGAATTATCTCTCTAATTTCTTTAACGTACCAGTCTCTCACCTTCCGTTCCTCTTATGTACGTATAATTTCCATCGCATCGCGCGCGCAACCTCCCCTTACCAGCTCGGGATCGGGACGGACCCCATCAGCGGATACGAGAACCTCTTCACGCTTCCTGAGGATGAAAGCTTAACCCACCTGCTAGGAAACCCGGTAGCGAGAGCGAGAGAGAAAGAGACAAGGGGAAAAAGAGGTCCGAGCCGGCTGACGTAATTATTTCGTCGATTCTTTTGACGCGGTTCGCCGGGATCGATCATCGCCGCGACCTCCGCGCGATTTTACACACCGTCTGCCTTCTTTTTTAGATATTCCAGCCATTGAACAGAACTATTAAATGCGCTCAACTCGATCCGAATTCGCAGATTAGAAGCGCAGATTGGAAGCAAGACGCGCGCGATATTTCGGCGAATATTCGCGCGTCACGTCAAATTCGTTCTCAGAGTCTAAGCAGCTGCTGATTAACCAGCTCGGACATGTGGACCAAGCCTGCCTACTTGCCTGTCCGCGTGCGATGCCTAAGACGCTCGCTCAATCTTGCGGGGGATATAACAAAACTATTACAAGCGGCACGCTGAAGCTAATAATAACAAACGATGGCCGGTGTAAGGAGGGTCGGCGGTGTAATTCGTACAAATGATAGTTCACGGCTATCGGTCGGCGGCGAGGGTAGAACCTCGTATCCATCGGAATGGCCCCGAAATGAGATCCCACCCTTGCAG